TAAGAAAGGACTTGTGTCGCTAAAGTTTCGTCGGAACGAATTTACGGAAAATTAATTAACGAACCAAGACGTAACACTATCCATTTTCGGTCAACTACGTCAAGAATATGATTTGTAACAAATATAATGTCTTCTAAACGCTAGTGGAATTACGGTGATGGTTTATTTGTAAACAATTTCAGCACGTGACTAGATATTTTGATTTATTTTTGTTACAAAATTCCAGAACAATTTCTACGCCATTATGTTATTAACAGACTGTTATAAAATAATGCAATAAGAGTATGTCGTTTTAACAATATAGTTGTCATTTCAAATATATTCTATGTTTGAAGGCGTAAGGCAGAAATGATCATCTGCTTCGACTCTTGTAAGGTTGAATACGATCCAAGTTGCTGCCTCAACCCTTGTGTGGTTAAACACAATCCAAGGTATTGACTTGGTCCTTATAAGACTTAACATGCTCCAAGATTTTGCCATGTTCTGTTAAGACTGAACACAATCCAAATTGCTGCCTCGACCTTAGTAAGGTTGAACACAATCTAAGGTATTGACTTAGTCCTTGTAAGACTCAACATGCTTTAACATTTTGCCATGTTATTTTTAAGACTGAACACGATCCAAGGTATTGACTTGCTTTTCATAAGGCTCAACACGATTCAAGGTATTGACTTGGTCTTTGTAAGGTTGAACACGATTCAAAGTATTGTCTTCATCCTTGTAAGGTTGAACACGATTCAAGGCATTGACTTGATCTTTGTAAGGCTCAAAACGAGCAAAGGTGTTGTCATGATGCTTGCAAGGCTGGACACGATCCAAAGTATTGCCTTGATCTTTGTGAGGCAGGAAGCCGAACCCATATTGCTGTCTCAATCTTTAAAGGTTAGAATCTGAAGGTTAAATGAGTTGCCTAACTATTCGTGTTTTTGTAATAATTAGACATGAAAAAGTGAGCTGTATTACCACAAATCTCTATGTTATCCATAACACTAACAGATAATGAAACTACAAGTATGAGTAACTTGATATTTATCTAATTTTGTGAGGTTTTTATACAGAACCTGTAGCTTTAAAAATATCTCAATAGCCATGAAATAGGTTCTATTATGCAAGCCATACGTTGGAAAGACATATTTTGATTAATTATTGCTTAGTGGTATGTCTAAGCTCAAGAAAACTGGTTTATATATGACTTCATTAAATTTAAAAATATACGCACAGTAGGTAATTAGTGATGAATTAGATTGTTGCAAGGTAAGCGAACATCGAACACCTATAACATAAAGTATGAAAGATAAACATTTTAGAAAGGATATATTTTACTTATTATAATTATATTCGGAGAATAATGAGATTATTTCTCATTATCCAAAATAATATTTTTGGATTAGTGGAATATGCAGACAAAAAGGAATACTTGAAATATTTCTCGAATCTGATAATTACATTCACAATCAAATTTTCTGTTGCGACTTCTTTTCTTACAAACTACAATAACATTTACAAGCAGATAAATACAAGCATGTGTATATAATTCTAACTAACAGTGTAGTAGTGTGACTCTCTCGTTGGCGGTTTTTTAAAAGTTGTCTGGTGAAAATATTTCAACGTCAAGTTCATGTAACGATAATAAATTATTTTACTTTCTTTTTTAATGTTTCTACAAACTTGAACACTTGAACACTGCCGTTAATTTGCTGTAGGTCTGAGTTACAAAAAGCGTTAACTAACGTTAAACAAATCAATTTACTTGTATAAAGTAGCCGTAAAAGTAAACTATTTTGAAAATAATTCTACACACTTCACAACTATATCGTATTCATAATATAGCTTCGAATATACTAGAACCAACTTGACGTCACATCCTTAGAG